CCCTTAACGGCCCGGCCCCGCCAGGGCCGGGCCGTTGCGGCGGGGGCAGCCCCGGGGAGTCAGTTCGGAGGCGGCGGGAGCTCGGCGGAGGCGGGCCAGGTGACTGGTCCGGGCCATGCCGAGGAAGAAGCCTTTCAGCGTCAAGCAGAAGAAGAAGCAGTTGCAGGACAAGCGGGAGCGGAAGCGAGGTCAGTGCGGGAGCTAGAGGAGGGGGCGGGGCTCGGACTCCCGCACATCTGGAAGGAGGGGTGTGCCCGCCTCACCTCTGGGAGGCGTAGGAGGGGGTGGTGGCCGCGCGCCGACGCGCGTGGGCGACCGCGGAGGGGATTCCTTCACCCCAGCCCACTACCTCTGGAAGGGGTGGGGAAGGATGGAGAGTTGGGGGAGGGGAATCCCTCCTGCTCGAATGGGGCGCCATCCCCGCAGATCCCTGGAGGAGGAATGCCTCCCTCCACGCACATCCGGGAGGGTCTTGGGTAGGGTAGCTGGGAGGACCCGGCTTCAAAAGAAGTGAGGTGATGTGAGGAGGAGCCAGGCCGACCGAGGAAAGGGGTCTTATAGCCCCTGAGAGCTGGCCAGCACTGGCGTCACTGACTCCTCCCCGCAGGGCTTCAAGATGGGCTGCGATCCAGTTCCAACAGCCGCAGCGGGAGCCGGGAGCGGCGGGAGGAGCAGACCGACACCTCAGATGGAGAGTCTGTGACCCATCACATCCGCAGGCTCAACCAGCAGCCTTCCCAGGGGCTGGGGCCGCGAGGCTATGACCCAAATCGGTGAGAGTGGGCGGGGGGCTCTGTCCCGGGCTTCCCCGCCTACCCGGAAGTTAGAGCGTTGGGGGAAAGCAGGCTGCTGCTGTTGGAGGCTTGAAACAGGAGATGGTGGGACTGGGATGCTGCGGTTCTTCACGGGCCGCTGGGTCACCGGAGCGGATCACAGTCTTCCCTTCCGGAGAGGCTGGAGAGAGTTTGACTTTCAGAATGGCGAAACTTAGAGGAAGGCCTACCACCGCGTGAAGGAGATTTGGGGGAGGGCTGACTCAGAGGGGAGACTTGAACGGGAGAGAAAGCTTTGCGAAGTTACCTGCTGGTCCCGTCCTGTTAGATACCGGCTGCATTTTGAGCGAGACAGCCGCGAGGAGGTGGAGCGGAGAAAGAGAGCAGCCCGGGAGCAAGTGCTGCAGCCTGTCAGTGCTGAGCTGCTGGAGCTGGACATCCGGGAGGTCTATCAGCCAGGTTCCGGTGAGTGAGAGCCCAACACCAGGTTGCTTGGGACAGGCAATGGGCTGAGGGAAGGAGTTTGGAAGAGTAAGAGCTGACTGGGAGGAAGGGGTCTGGGATGCACCTATGAGTCCTGAAACTATTCTCAGACTTATTTGGGCTTTTTCTTGATTTCCTAGTCCTGGACTTTCCCCGACGTCCTCCTTGGAACTATGAGATGTCCAAGGAGCAACTGATGAGCCAGGAGGAAAGGAGCTTCCAGGAGTATCTTGGGAAGATTCACGGGGCTTACACCTCTGAGAAGCTCAGCTACTTCGAGCACAATCTGGAGGTGAGAATACAGTGGGGACAGGAGTGGGGCATGGTGACCCATGGTCAAATTGGTCTGGGGTCAGGCGGGAGAGTGACTCTGAGCTCAGGTTCTCTTCCTCTGACCTTGTCTTTTCAGACATGGAGGCAGCTGTGGCGAGTGTTAGAGATGTCTGACATTGTTCTGCTAATTACTGATATCCGACATCCAGTGAGTCCTGGGGATGAGGGTGTGCGAAGGGGAGGAGGGAGGAAGATTCTTGATGGGTAAAGGGCAGAGGCAGGAGTTGGGAGCCAGAAAGGTAATCTCTTCCTTTCTGGTCTCCTCTACCCCATGCTGATGTCTTCAGTCAAGAACTCAATTTTTATTCATCCATGTCACAGCCTATCACTCCTCTCCTGGTCAATTGACTCCACTCTCCTATATTTTTTTGATGGAAGAGTGGGCTGTTTCCTAGCCCTTCAGAGCTAATAGAGCTCCTAGTGTCAAGCTCCAGGGGATTCTATGAAGACAGCTGGGGTTTAACCCCCTGGCCTGCCACATGGGTCACTACAGAACTCAGCCTCAGCTGGGATGCTAGGGTGTGGTTAAGGCTCTAGACTGTGCTGCTGGACAGCCCCTGTGTGAACTTGGCTTTGCCACTTGCTGTTGTTCTCCAGTGGGAGAAAAGGAAGTCTGAGGTTTGTGCAGACATTTAGGTTGGAGGGCCTTAATGACATACACGCCTGTGTGCTCCTAGACATATGCATGCATACACATGCTTTCTTATGCAGCCACTCTTGCTCAATACAAACACGCACACACATGGCTTGCATGTACATATGCCTGCGTACACATGTAGACAGTTGTCTAAATATGAAAATAGATATTAATTTCTATCCCAACTCCCATCCCTGTGTGTGATCCCAGCCTTCACCCCAGTGTGCTAGGGGTCACTATTTCTTCATCTTGTTTTTAGCTCATTTCCATCCCTAATTAGGCCCTGTGCTAAGCCCCTAGAGACCAATGCATAGGTGTTACTTACCCCAGCTTGTCCTCCTAGTTCAGTTTGGCTGATTTGTCCTTGTTGCCCCAGGATCTGCTACCACCAGGGTCTCATCTCCAAAGCTGTGCCTGGTGAATGGGGAGCTGGAGGCAGAGAACCCTGGGTTGACCTCTTATCACTCCCTCCTCTTACCATCCCTGTTCCAGGTTGTGAATTTCCCACCAGCACTTTATGAGTATGTGACTGGAGAGCTTGGGCTGGCCCTGGTGCTGGTCCTGAACAAGGTGGATCTGGCCCCACCAGCCCTTGTGGTTGCCTGGAAGCATTATTTCCACCAACACTATCCCCAGCTCCACATTGTCCTTTTCACCTCTTTTCCTCGGGACCCTCGCACCCCACAGGACCCTAGCAGCGGTGAGTGGGCAATGAAGAGGACAATGTGGGAGTGGGAGAGGTGGGTGGCAGGGACAAAGGGGAACCTGATCTTGGGCCTGAGGGTGGCAGGACAGAGAGGGTGCATAAAGCCCATGGGGTGTGCTTATGCTTTTGTGCCCTCTGATCTCAGTCTTGAAGAAGAGTCGGAGGCGGGGGAGAGGATGGACTCGGGCCCTGGGGCCAGAGCAGCTACTGAGAGCCTGTGAAGCCATCACTGCCGGGAAAGGTATGTGCCCCTTAGAGGGGAGCTGTCGGAGGCCCAGGGGGAGATGAAGGCCTTGGTTCACTTTGCTCACCTTTCCCGGAGTCAGTCCCTCTCTTTTGGACTCAGGCGAGAGACCACAGGGAAGGACAGAAGAGAGAGCAGCCTGACTTAGTGGGACAAGAGAGGCAGCGGGTAGGCAGGAGCCCCAGTGGTTTGCTGCCTTCATTCTTTTGAGTCAGAAACTCAAATGCACGTGATTCCACGGTGGGGTCAGGTGAAGGCTGGGGAGAGTCGGCCATGGTGTCCAACTCCAGAGGGCACCACTGGTCTGTGCCATTGTACACAGTGGCCCTGGAGAGAACCTTCTTCTCCTTCCTTATGCAGTGGACCTGAGCAGCTGGCGGGAGAAGATTGCCCGGGATGTGGCTGGGGCCACCTGGGGCAATGGCTCCGGGGAGGAGGAGGAAGAGGAGGACGGGCCGGCCGTCCTGGTGGAGCAGCAGACTGACTCAGCCATGGAGCCAACAGGCCCCACACGAGAGCGCTACAAGGACGGGGTGGTGACCATCGGCTGTGTGGGTAAGGAAGCAGTGGCCCATGTGTGGCGGCCTTCTGGGGGCACGGAATTTCAGTATTTGGAAAAGAGGGCAGGTGTCAGGTCCTGTTAGGCTCCAGGGTCTTATGCTGTGGTGGCAGGATTGCTGCATGGTGGAGTTAAATGCCACCTCTTCTCTCAGTTTGTTGATCTCGAGCAAGTTATTTCTCCACTCTCAGTCTAGTGACTTTGATTTAAAAAATGAGGACAGTGATGCTCAGTTAAAAGAATGGATGTGAGGACTGGAAGGAAGTATACAGAGGGCCTAACAAAACTTGGCAAACAATGATAAAAGTAATAATAATAATTATTAAAAGTTTAACATTTACATGATGCTTGCTGTGTACCAGGTATTATTCTAAGCGATTTACATGGTGACTGTTTCAGTTCTGTACTTAGTCCAGAGTAGAGTAATCCTTAAGTTGTAGTAGGAGCTTAGCAAGTATCAGCTTCTGTCCGGGTCTTAACTCTTTAGGTCTCCTGTCTGTGAGAATCTTCCCTTAATTAAGAGCTTTGTCTGTGCTCTTGGTTGGGGAGAAAGGAACAGAAAATTAGGGCCAGGGCCCCTTTTCTTTTGAGGTAGGACAGGTGAGAAGTGACTTGGACAAAGGTGTGGTAAGCGAGGTGATAATTGGAACCAAAAAAAGGCCCAGTCCAGGAGAAATTAGGGAAAGCAGAGTAGTTTAGCTCCTTGGAAATGTTCCTGACTTATCTTTCAGTCTCCTTTTTGTCTTGACAAAAACCTGCCTGACTGCTGACGGATGGCTCCCCTTTCCAGCCATTTCCCCCCAGCTTTGCCTCCCCTGGCGTCTGAGCCCAGCTCTCCCACACAGGGGCCCTGTGCCTCTCCCCTGTGCCTCTCTCGGTAGCCACTGCACTGACCTGTCTGGGTTCAGGGTGGTGGAATGGGGAGAGCGTTGCTGTGGCCCAGGCAGCGCTGAGTTTGGATTTCCCTCCAGCTCTCATTCACTTACCCATCGGACAGATACTTACCCAGCACCAGGTGCTGTTCTAGGGATGGAGTACGTTGCTGTGAAAATGGCAGAAAAGTCCCTCCTCTCACGGAGCTTGTTTTCTTGGGAGTAAATTGATGCGTGATCTGAAATCCTGTATTTAGGGAATAGTGACTGGGACAGGAGAGGTCCTCAGGGAAAGCCCCCCTGAGGAGAGCCTGGATGCTGAGCTGAAGTGGCCATTTGGAGACGTGAGGAGAGTTCCTTCCAGGCCAAGGGGTCTTGAGGTGGGAACGAGCTTGGTGATTGTGGGGCTAGCCAGAGTGCCAGGGGGACTGGGGAATGGGAGCCCCGAAAGAGAATCGAGGATGAGGTCAGAAAGCTCAGGGGCCACATCATGTAAGGTCTATGAGAAGGTGTTTTGGATTTTATTCCAAGTCTGATGAGAAGCCAGTGGTGAGTTCTGAGCAGGGGAATGACAGGATCTGATTTCTTGTTTTAGAAGTTTGCTGTGTCTGCTGAGAAGAGAATGGTGGGGCTGGGCAGGACAGGAAGCAGAGGGAGTGTGGTCAGAGGCTGTCCCAGACTAGAGAGAAAGAAGACTTGCTCAGAGCAGAGTGGTCGAGGTGGAGGTGGGGAGACAGGTCAGAATCAGAATATATTTTGAAGTTAGAGAACGAGGTTGCTGATGGGTTGCACTTGGGGCCTAAGAGAAAGTGAGGAATAAAGGAGGACTTCCAGGGTTTTGTACTGAGCAGCTGGGAATACTGAGATAGGAAGACTGGGAGAGGAGCAGGTTTGGAGGGATTGGGGAAAGGAATCAGAAATTAAATCTGAGATTCTTTTTATATATCTCAAGTGGAGATGTTGACCAGGCAGTGGGTATAGGAGCCTGGAGCTTAGGGGAGAGGACTGGAGATTTGAATTCGGGCAAGATTTAAATTTGGGGAGCCACTAGTGAATATAAATGATATTTAAAGCCAGAGGCTTGGATGAGATATGGGAGAGGAGGTAGGCGGAGAGAAGGCCAAGCCATTTAGAGGCTGGGCAAAGGAGGGCAAAGCCAGGAGTGTCCCAGAAGTCAAATGAAAAAGGTTTAGAGAGGAAAACAACAGGGACTTACTGTATAGCGTAGGGAACTATATTCAGTATTTTATAATAAACTATAATGGAAAAGAAAAAAGATACATACATGTATGTATATAATTGAATCACTTTGCTGTAAACCTGAAACTAACACAGTATTGTAAATCAACTATACTTCAGTTTTAAAAAGTGATAAAAAATTTGGAGAGGCAGGGAGGGCTCAGCTGTGTCAAATGTTGCTGACGGGTTGAGTGAGATAAGAACAGACTTGCTCAGCAGCTGGGCAGGGTGATCAGTGGTTTCAGGGAAGTGGAGGAGAGAAAGATAGATTAGGGTGGCCCCAAGAGACCGGCACCGACATGGCAGAACTGCACCGTCTGCTGTAGTTCATAGTCACAAAGATGGCAGGAAGAAGTGGTGACAAAAAATAGATAAGTCTTTGAGTTTTACTATAAAGGGAACAGAGGGATAGGGCCGGTAGGGGTTGTCAAAAGAGAGTTGTTTCCCCTTCCCCTTCTGAAAGGAGACACGGTCACGGAACCCATGGGTACGGAGGGCCGACTGTACTGCACCATTTTATATAAGGGACTTGAGCATCCATGGATTTTGGTATCCTCAGGGGCTGCTGGAACCAATTCCCTGTGGATCCCGAGGGCCAGCTGTACTCGAGCGGGTTGTAAACGCAGCACAGTCAGCACCGTGGTGCATCTTTGCCCAGGCTTAGTCAGCTGCCCGGGAGCAGGTGCTGAGTGGACAGAATTGCATTTTACAGGGTTGGGGTTTTGCCGGGTGACTAAAAAGGGGAGAGGCGGGGCCAGGGAGTTGAAGGTCTATTAAGGGGACTGGCCGTCCAGCTGGATCATGGAATCTAAGTTGGGTAAGAAGGGAAGAGAGGCCATGGGCTGATTATTGAATGCTGTATCTGTGTTAGTCAGGGTCAGATTTATTGGAATGGAGGAACCAGAATAAGAGAGCTGGAAAGATGGATGTCAGGGCAGAGAGAGGGGTGCTTGCAGTTGAGGTTTGTAAAGTGTGAAGTGTCAGGTCCGGCTCAGAGCACAGAGGTGGGGTTGACAAACCTTTGGAAGGGAGATTCTGGCACTGAGAGGCCAGAGTGCTGCCCGGGAGATCTGTGCAGATGCTGAAGTCAGCCAGAATGAAGGTGGTGTCATGAGGAGAGTGCAGTGAGCCCCTGGGCTTCCAGTCTCCTTCTTGGAGAAGTTTTGATAATCATGGGACATGTGTCTCACTGGTATCGGGCACTCAGTCTACCGCAGGCATAGCCACACAATTGTATTAGTTTCTCATTTCACCCTGACCACTCTGAGGCTGGAGGTATCTGCTCTGTAAAATGCAAAAACAGAGATTCAGAAAATTAAGTAAATTGCCTTGAGGTCACAAAGCTTGGCTAAGCAGGGAGGCCAGGATTTGGCCCTGGGAGTCCACAGCCTGATCTGTAACTTGAAATGTTATACGGCTTCCTTTATTCCTCCTGCGCCCTGGTTTCCCTTTCATCTTCAGCTACAGTACTGCATCCTGCCTGTCCCAAAGTTAGGATCTGTCAGATGTTAATTTTCCTTGTCTTCTTCAGGTTTCCCCAACGTGGGCAAGTCCTCGCTGATCAACGGGCTGGTGGGGCGGAAGGTCGTGAGCGTCTCCAGAACCCCGGGCCATACCCGGTACTTTCAGACCTACTTCCTCACCCCCTCCGTGAAGCTCTGTGACTGTCCAGGCCTCACCTTCCCCTCCCTTCTGCCCAGGCAGTTGCAGGTACGAGGGCAGAGTGGGCAGCTGTGGCGAGAAGCCTGGAGGCCAGGAAGGTGCTGAGCGCTCTTGTCTCCCCTCAGGTCCTGGCGGGGATCTACCCCATTGCCCAGATCCAGGAGCCATACACGGCCGTGGGCTACCTGGCCTCCCGAATCCCTGTGCAGGCCCTGCTCCACCTGCGCCATCCAGAGGCTGAGGACCCCTCCGCAGAACACCCCTGGTGTGCCTGGGACATCTGTGAAGGTGGGTTCCGTATGCCTGGCTTCTCCCCTCCCCTCCCCTCTCTCCGCAGAAGTCCTGCCATCAACCAGGTGGCTGGCCACTCACCCCTAGACTTCTGTCTCAGGGCCAGCAAGATCTTGGCCTGGAATGTTCTGGGGGAAACTGGAAAGACTGTATTAGGGTAGTGGGGTGATGGTGACTGGGCCCAGTTGATGGGCTTCCCTCCCCATTATCCTTTTTTCTCTCCAGCTTGGGCAGAGAAACGTGGTTACAAGACAGCCAAGGCGGCCCGAAATGATGTGTACAGAGCGGCCAACAGCCTCCTGCGGCTGGCATTGGATGGCCGTCTCAGCCTGTGTTTTCACCCGCCGGGCTACAGCGAGCAGAAAGGTCAGTCAGCCAGTGTCCTTCCCCAGCCCCTGCTCTAGCGCAGGCAAAAGGGTGTGAGATTTGTGGCCACACAGAGCGAGGATTCCGGATTCTGCACCCATTGGCCAGTTGGATGTTACTAAGCATCTCTGAGACTACTTCCTGATCTGCAAAACCAGAGTGGTAGCTGCCCCCAGCAAGGTGGGGGTCGAGACTGGAGTTAACGTGTGCAGAACTTCTGTTTGGTGCCCAGCACATGAGAGGCTGAATGAATGAGTGAACAGATGAATGCCAGCAGCTATAAAAGTTATTGTTATTCGTAGTCTTTGCCTCTTCCCCATCTTTTCCTGGTGTTAGTTTCTTGCTCAAAACTCTCCTCCATTCTTTTTCTTGTTTTGGTTCCCCAGGCACCTGGGAGTCCCATCCAGAGACCATGGAGCTGGTGGTTTTGCAGGGCAGGGTGGGGCCAGCAGGTGACGAGGAGGAGGAGGAAGAGGAAGAGCTGAGCAGCTCCTGTGAGGAGGAGGGAGAGGAGGACCGGGATGCGGATGAGGAGGGGGAAGGGGATGAGGACACCCCAACCTCAGCTCCAGGGTCCAGCCTGGCCGCCCGAAACCCATACGCCCTGCTGGGCGAGGATGAGTGCTGAGTCCTTGTCCTGCTCCATCCTCCCCCCACCCCTAATATCTTTGCTTTTGGACTGACCTGGGGTCTCTCCCATCTGCCGCCCCAGTTATGAATAAAGATTGTCTGCTTTGTAGCCCCTTCCCCAGATGGACTGAGGTGAAAGCAGCTGTGGGAGGCTTCTCTGCTCTCCTCCCTTCTTTTTCCAAGCATTCTCTTTACAAAGGAAGTGTTCTCTTAGGAGCTGATTCAGTGGGTTCTAAGGTCTGAAACCTGCTTCCTCTGCTCACTCTCCTACTTGTACCTTAGGAACCCCATCATCAACATGGGGAAGCTGGGGGTCACTTCAGGCTTTTGAGGCCTGTTCTAAATCCAGCCCCCTTTGAGAGTTTGTGCCAGGCCCTCTGGGACTGGAGCAGCAGCCAGTGCGCCCCCTGCTGCCAGACCTGGGTTATACCAGGAGCTTCTGGGAGAAGAAGCAGTGAAGAGTTGTTACAGCTGATGTCTCCAAGTGAGATTTTCACAGGATTTATTCGAAGTCAACAAATATTTATTGAGGGCTGACTGTGTGTCTGGACTTATGCTACACACTGAACATATAAAGATGCCTGACCTGAATAGACAGCCTGGCCATGATCAAGATCCCGTTATCAGGCACCCTACTTGTTGGATTAAGAAGGGTGTATAATGTTCTCCAAATCCTTAGGTCTCATGCAATATAATTCTAGAATCTCCTGTTGATGGAAATATTTAATTAAGACTAAAGGCTTGTGAAAATGTTAATTAAATGTGCACGAATAGTCTTAATTACTGGCAAACAAGTAGCGTGCACATTTATGATTTGATCAGGAGCCCTTTAAGTGTTAAGTTTCATTATTTAAAAGCCTGTATACACTCAGGGTGTACTAGATTCATAGGGAAGCACACAGAACCGGTCTCCTGAATCCCACTTACCCTGGCTTGGGACGAGCCAGGGAGACCCAGTGCAGGGTCTGAGCTGTCTTGCCATGTCAGGCAAATCTCAGCAGAGATCAGCTCTCTTATGAGTCAGGGTATCTTAGGCCTGACTGTACTTCTCCGTTGTCAAGCAAGCAGTTGAACTCCTAGATTTAATTCTTGGAGAAAAGAGAGAGAATAGGCTTTGGTTTATTGGCTGCCACAGTGTCGTCTGGGTTGGGCAGTAGCAAAAAGTTGTTTGATAGGTTAGCCGTTAGGTGTAGGGGTGAGGAGAAGCAGGATGCCAGCTTCCTGTCTTTATTCTCAAGCATCCCACTTTGATTCTGGGGCCCCCAGCCAGTGTCTGTAATTCCAGCAGAGACCCTGTCACCCCAGGATCAAAAGAGGCTGAGATGTTTGGGCCACACATTCCCTCCAGCTCCCCTGTCATTGGTCCCAGTGAGGACATAGTCCGGGAATTTGCACTCCAGTGCAAAGTTTAAATACTACCGGCATGTGAACGTGCATGAAGATTGTCGAAAATGTGATGTAAAAAAGTTTCAGTGGAGAGAAAAACCCACCTGTCTCCCATCTTAGTCTTTTTAGCCGCAGGGCTGTGTCTTCTGATGGAAGAAAGGGAACCCCAGCTCAGTGTCCTGTGAGGATTCATGATGATCAGGGAAGCTCAGGGGACTTCTCTGCTGTTGGAGGTAGCACTGCTACTGGGGACGTTGGGAGTGTCTCAAAAAGTGGAGAAAAGTGAGAAAAATCAGAATTTTATTTGTACCCTTGCCTCTGTGCTGCTTCTCTTTGCTTGTCTTTATCTCTTGTTGAGTTTCTCCAGGGGCATTTAGGAGATCTGGGAGTGGGGATGAGAGTTGAGGCCTGGCGCTGAGGAGGTGGGTTTTTACACTGAAGATCTGGAAGGAGGTAACCCTAACATCCCCAGGGAGCTAAACTGGAAATGATTCTTCTCAGGTCCCTGTCAGTGACTCACTCTGTAGGAAAGTAACACTGGGAAAGAACTATCTTAGCAACAGATTTGGTAGGATAAACAATAACCCAAAACCAGTGCCTGAGGCTGAGGTTGAAACTGACTAAAAGACAAAGGAAATTGAGGCCAGTCTCTCCTCAATGAAATACCCAGGACCCCTGTCCTCACACCCCTCTACCTGGGCCACATCCACTGTGGAGATACTTGACCATGGAGGTCTCAGGCTCTGAGAGTTCCCACAGCTTCTGTTTCTTGATGGAGAGAAACTAGTGCTTCTCTTTCATGCTGGAATTCCATTTAGATGCTGAGCAACTTCCTTCTGAGCTTCCCTTTTTCTAGACTGAGTTCCAGTCCTGGTTCTGGGACAAGGTAGCTGTGTGTGGTCCAGAGTAGTTCAATTATCTGGGCCTCTAATTCTTTATTTCTTATTATCATTGATACAATCAACAAAATTGGTTGAAGACAATGTCAGATATGCTGAGTTCTGGGACAAAACAAAGTTGAGTAAGGAATAGACCTTACCCTCCAAGAATAGAATAGCCAGACACTAATAATAATATAATTCCATAGCACTGTGTAAATTATAAAGGAATTACTTTACATGAATCTATTGAACTGTTGTAACTAAGTAGATAGAAATGTAATCACCCCAGGGATTCATTAGACAATCGAATATTTGTCGAACAATTAAAACAATTACTATTTTGCCAGTTGCTGCTCAGTGGTTAGTGATACAGAAATGGTCACAATTTATTGAAAAATGGAAGCAATTAAATAGATAATTACCAAAAAAGTGTGATAAGTGCCATGAGAAAGGGTGGAACAAGGTTCCGTGGGCTAGTGGTGGCTCCACGTAGAAGGGTCTTGTGATGCTGGTCAGGAAGGAGTGGAGGACAGGTCTGGAAGCTGTGATGCTGTAGCAAGTTATGTGAGGCTGAAAAAAAATCAGTGGTCTGTGGTAAAGAATTGCTATGGGAACACTCAACAGGGGCCAGTCTTTGTGAGTTAGAGGAAGCCTCTGAGAGGAACAGAGATCCAAGCTGAGGCCTGAAGATAGAGCAGGAGTTAGCCAGGCTCACTCACAGAGGAGACAGCAAAAGTCAAGGAACAAGCACAGGACAGTTTGGCAAGACTCATTCAGCATGGCTGGGGCAGACAAGTGAGGAAAGGTGAAGTTGGAGAAGTAGGGCTGGGCCACCTCTCACTGGGCTTTGTCAGCCATGCTAAAGATGAAGACTTTATCCAGAGGAATGCTGAAAAATTTTAAGCCTAAGACCAAGAAGGAGAGATTTGTGCCTTAGATCATTTTGGTTGCAGTATGGAGACTGGCTTGAAAAGAGGAAGAGAGACCAGAGGCTTTTGCAGAGATCCAGGGGAAGGGAATGGAAACCAGAATTCAGGGGCTTGAAGGAAGAGGTGTGGCTGCAGATTTGGGCATCATTAGCATGTGGGTGGGAGGAGAGTAGCTGAGATCATCCACCAGAGAGTGTTTAACATGAGAAGAGAAGAGGGCTGAGGAATGTGGAGAAGATATATAAATGAGGGCAGGGAAAGAGGAACCAGCAGACAGGATAAAACCTAGGAAGTATGGTGCGATGAAAGCCAGGGGAAGGAGGAAGGAAGGGCGCCACATGGAATGCTGCTGAGAAGTGATGACAAGAATGAAGTGTCCACTGGATTTAGTAACAAGGAGCCTTGCTGATCTTAGCGGGAGCAGTTTCATGGGATAGGTGAGATCAGATGTCCCGGATGTCAAAAGATTGAGGAATAATTTGGAAGAAGGAAGTGGAGAAAAGGATATAATTTTCAAGAAGTGTGGTTGTGTTGCAAAGAGAAAGATGTAGAGAGCAGAATATGTAAAAATGAGGAATTTTTTTTAAAGTTTTGAGCGTTTTAACATGTTGTTTGGAAGAAGGGTTAAGTGAAGGAGGAAAGGTTGAGAGTGCAAAGTGGGGACTAGTGATGAAACAAGCCCTGGAGAGCGGGCGGGGGTGGCACTGACAGTCCCAGTGCAGGGATTACCCTCCGGCAGGAGCCTCGTGGCTTCTGCCGTAATAGGAGGAAACAGCGCTGACATTCAGCCGGTTTGCACTGGTACAGCTCAACCAGTTGTTTAAACACTTCTGTACCAGTTAGTAAGTAGTTAAGAGTAACTGCAATAAGCAGTAAATATAATTAATAAAATAAATTATAATATGAACTCATCAGTTCAAGCTGATTAAGAGATCGCGACAGCCATTGGTAAATGGGCTACCTGCTGCACCTGAGACGCTCTGCAGCGCCATCTGCCGGTGGGGCAGCATCACTGCAGGCTGAGCGGCTGCTTTGCGCCTTACTAAACTCTACAACTGCCTGTTTAAATTTGAATTCTGGAGTTGCTACTGCTTCTAAATAGTTTAGCTTCTACTTTGATTTTATTGCTAGTACATTGTCATTCTTGTGTCAGTAGTAAGTTACAGTGTTTTACTATTTACAAATTCAAGAATTTTTAATAAAATGTTAAAACCAAACTTGAATAAAGAGACAATAAAGTTTGGATATGTTTCTTAGTGTGCCTTCTGAAATATAATTGAGAATCTTTTGTTTCCACGGGAGAACAAAGAAGAGATTATATTAATGAGCTGCTGCCTGGAATGTCTTCTGTTACTGTGTAAAAAAAAATATGGAAATTCTAAATTTTGTTTTGAAAATTGTCTAACACACAGGAAAACTGAAAAAAGGGACAATAAACACCCAAAGACTCAACACAAGGATTCAACAGATCCTAACATTTTGCCACATTTGCTTTACTAGTCCCTGTCTTATCTATCCATCTATTTGTCTACTTACTTTTTTTTCTCCTGAACTAGTTGAAAGTGAGTTGCAGGCATCATGACCATTCATCCCTAAGTCATCAATATATATCTTACACAACCACAATATCATGTCTAATGAGTTAATAATTCCTAATATTATCTACATAGTCAAGCTTTCCCAAGTTAAATATCTTTTATAGCATTAAATAAACTAACCAAGATCCAGTCAAGTTCCACATACTGCTTTTTGTTGTCCTTCTCTCTCCCCTTTTGTTTTTAATCCAGAACAATCCAGTCTTTTTTTCTTCATAGAATTGATTCTTTGAAGTGACTAGGCTAGTTGTCTTATAGAATATCCTAACTTCTGAATCTGTCTTATTATTTCTTTGCTGTCATTTAACTTGTTCCTCTAGCCCCTT